GTTAATCACTAGCCCTTATAACCTAAATTAACACATATTTATTAATTTAAGTGCTGCCACTGGGTTCATGGCTTGTTACTTCTTCTTCTACACATCCTGCTTCCTCTGCATCAGGCTGGTGACTCTGCCCGTCTTCTTCCCAGTGTCCTCTCATTCTGAAACTCCCACCTAACCTCTTTCTGCCTAGCTATTGGTCAGTCAGCTCTTTATTAAACCAATGAGAGCAACACATCTTCACAGTGTACAAAAGGATTATTTCACAGCAGAAAGGTACCCAAAGAGCCGGGAGCAGGGTTGTGAATCTGTGGATAGTTGTGAACCCCAAGTAGCATTTGCAAAGGGTCTCTGCTTTCTCTGGGCCTGAGGTAACTTTCCAAGGCCATGTCTTGGAGGACAGCCATTTGCTCTTTCCCTAGCATCCTCTCAACATGCTCACTCTCACGATCCACCTGCACAGAGTTATTCAAGGAACACATCCCCTATCATCCATGTCTATCTGACATGGAGTCCCACTTGCTACAGGCTGTAACATTATCAGTTCCCTTCTCTAACTTACTAGCCTCTTTGTTTGTTTGTTTGTTTGTTTGTTTGGTTTTTATTTTATTTTTTTTTTGAGACAGGGTTTCCCAGTGTAGCCTTGGCTGTCCTAGAACTTGCTCTGTAGACCAGACTGTCCTCAAACTCGAGAGAGGTCTGCCTGCCTCTGCTTCCCGAGTGTTGGGATTAAAGGCCTGCACCAGCACCCAGCCTAGCCTCCCTTTTCTTTTTAATCACCTCAACCTTAAAACTAAAGTTCTTAATACCTATGAGTCACATGAAGATTCTCATATACCTAAAACATTGTGAATCATTTTTTATAAAATAACTCTGAGAGGAAGGTCCATTTATTACTGTGATAATTTTGCAGACAAGATAATGAGCTCAACCTCTAAACAAGAGTATACTTTTCCTGTTATTATAGTACAGCTGAGGGCTGGAGAAATGGCTCACACTTGAGTTATTGCAACTCTTCCAGAATACCCGAGTTTGCTTCCCAGTATCCACATGGGGCAGCTGACAACTGCCTGTAACTCCATCTCCAGGGGATCCAACATCACTTCTGGCCTTCTAAGAAATGTCCGTGTCCGTACACACACACACACACACACACACACACACACACACACACACACACACACACACGGAGACAGAGGGGTAGGAGGGGGGAAGAGAGGAGAGAGAACAAATCTGAAGAAAAATAAACTAACTCTATATCACATTTTTTTCACAAAGACATGCACCTTTCTCCAGCTGAAGTCAAAACCACTCTTTTCTACCCAACCCTCACCTCTAGATTCTTTTTAATTTTGTGCCGAAGTCACTTTGGAGGAAAGTTCTAACCGCTGGCCCTCTTGTTTTGTTCTTCGAGACAAGGTTTCTTTGTATTGCTTTGGAGTCTGTCCTGGAATTTGCTGTATAGACCAGGCTGGCCTGGAACTCACAGAGATCCTCCTGTCTCTGCCTCCCGCGTGCTGGGATTAGAGGCATGCACTTCTAATGTCTGGTGAACCAGAGCCTCTTAGCTTTGCTTTCCCAGATTCTTACACCTCCAGATTCTCCAACAATTCCAAACTCTTCCCTCAGAGTCAATACAGACAGAAAAAAAAAAAAAAAAAAAAAAAAAAAAAAGGGGGGGAAGAGGGGTTGTGGGGAAAAACAAATACAGACAGAAAAAAAAAAAAAAAAAAAAAAAAAAAAAAAAAAAAAAAGCAGGGGCTGGAGAGATGGCTCAGTGGTTAAGAGCATTGACTGCTCTTCTAGAGTACCTGAGTTCAATTCCCAGCAACCACATGGCTCACAACCATCTGTAATGAGAGCTGGAGCCTTCTTCTGGTGTGCAGGCAAACACACAGGCAGAGCACAGAGCTCTGTGCATATAATAAATAGATAAATCTTTAAAACTAACAAAAAACCTACTCTGAAGATTCCTGTGTCCCACACTTTGCAGCAGGAACCCACAAAATAAAATCCCACTAAAACCCAGTTGTGTTTTGCTGATTAAATCCACTCCAATTCAAGCATGATTTGGGAGAAATTTTTACATAGAAGTGATCACTATATTTGAAAGAAAACGAAGATAACAGAAGAAAATGGACCTGAAAGGAAATGGGGGCAGAGTCCCCTAAACTCGTGTGTCTGAAAGACTGTGGTTTATCATCTGAGTAGAGGAAGCAGTCCAAGGCGGCCTCAAAGGGGAAGAGAATGTACAGCCAGCCCTCAGTGCTGAAGAAACCAAACTGAACCAAACTGCTTTGTTGTTTACCTAACCCTACCTTTTTTGGTGCTGGAGAAAAGCTCATACCCTGCAGTCTCCTCCACTCCTGAGCCGAACCCCAGGCTGAGGCTGCCAGCTGGAGGAATTTGGTTGTTCCTGCCCTCAGCCAGGCCACCCCTGTTTATTGTCTTCATCTAGAACTACTGCTATGTCATTCACCACAGTGAGGTGATACCAGGTGAGGACAGCTAGGGCTCTTATTTCACACTTTCCTTGAGAGAATGGAAAGAATGACATAGGCCTTCCTTCTAACCCGTGAAATTGGCCTAACAAATGTTACTGTGAAGCCTTGGGGGTGGGGTGCTTCTTTAACCCTTTAAACAAACTGTAGAGAGGGCAGACACCATTGGCATTTATGGAATCCTTCAACCTCCTGGCCTTGGACATCATAATAAATCTTAGGGGGATAAAAAGGAGATTCAGAAGTCTGATACTCCTATACCTTAGGCATGTGATAAGTTTTGTTTGTTTGTTTTCCTATTTAAAAATTAAAAAAAAATCCGGGTGTACACACCTGTAATACCCGAGCATGTGGGGCTGAGGCAGGAGGATCACTGGGAGTTAGTGAGATATTGAGCTCCAGCCCTGCCTGGGCTAAGACTGACACCCAGGCTCAACAAACCAAATATAAGATATAGTGTAAAAGGAGATTCCAACTGTACTCTTTAGGGAGAGTTTTACTCTTGTCTCAGAGGTGTAGTTTAGCAGTTGAACCAGAAAACTTTTAACATTTAGATTTGCCTAAATCAATTCCATTTACCAGAAGAAAATTTCATTCATAAACAGAAGACTCTGAATATATTTGCCATACAACACTGACATTATATTTCTAAAAGATTAACATGAGTAGGGTGGTATCCCAGGAAGAAATTCTTTATGAGATAGAAACCAATGGTTTCTGCAAACTTTGATTTATATAGTTATGTATGTATATGGGAAAAAAAGAAGGATTTTATTTTCTTCAATCATTTGCTCATCAACATCACAATTGCTGATTACTTTGGTTACAATACTCCTGTTATGTTGCCTCTCTTTCCTTTCTTCCACAGTCCACTTTCAGTTCTAGTTTTTTTTTTAAAGATTTTATTTATTTATTATGTATACAACATTCTGCTTCCATATATATCTGCACGCCAGAAGAGGGCACCAGATCTCATTACGGATGGCTGTGAGCCACCATGTGGTTGCTGGGAATTGAACTCAGGACCTCTGGAAGAGCAGTCAGTGCTCTTAACCTCTGAGCCATCTCTCCAGCCCCCTCAGTTCTAGTTTTTATGTCTCTGTTCCCATAATCACACTTGAGTTTCTGGTCCTGTCCACCTACCCGTACCCATTCTAGTCTTACTTACCATCTCCCTTCCTGAATATGACTACATTTGAAAGGAGGGCCTTGATGGACAGCTCTTAGATCTATATCCTCTATAAGAAGACCTCCTACTCCAAGTTAATAATTTTAACCAGATATAATGCCATTCTGGGGAAGTAAACAGACACCTTTAATTTCGTATAATGTCTTTCATGTTCCTAAACATGAAACCACTTCATGCCAAAGGATGTGCTTGGGGACAAGTTTTTACGTGTCGTTTTGTATTGTACAGGCCATTACTGACCACGTAGAGACAGAAAGCTACATATCTCCCCCTAGTGGTTCCTCTTGGTGTATGTCTTTCTCATCTCCAACTTCTCCCAGTTCCATCTCAACAAATAGCTGCAGAAACAATCCTCAAGCACAAATCCAGCGCCACGTTCCCCTCATCTTCAATGGCTCTCTACCACCCGAAGAACAAAAGCCTAACACCCCCGCACTGTCCATCTGAATATCTATGTAACCGCTGCGGCTCGGTTCTGAGACAGGGTCTGTCTACACAGTTGAGTAGTCATTAGGAACAGTTGCTAAGGAACTTCACATTGGGCTTTATACTTTGACTGTCGAATATACTTTATGCATTTTACTACCAAGAGTGAAAATTCCATGATAGTTAGGACTAGCCTTTATATCCTCTTTCATAGCGCATCACCTGCTTTCAGACCTTCCTCATCCACTATAGTTAACCTTTCTTATTCTCTTTTCTATACTTAATACTGCAATGTACGTGTGTGTGTGTGTGTGTGTGTATATATATATATATATATATTGTGTGTGTGTGTGTGTGTGTATATATATATATATATATATAGTGTGTGTGTGTGTGTGTGGCTAGATTCTGCATATATCATTGAGAAGAATTCTTTCTCCCTCTGAGATTGTGTTAGCTTGCTTGATAGTATGTCCGTTCATTTTCCTGCAAACTTCGTGATTTCATTATCCTTTTTTGTTTTTTGAGACAGGGTTTCTCTGTGTAGCCCTGGCTGTCCCAGAACTCGCTCTGTAGCCCAGACTGGCCTCGAAATCACAGAGATCCGCCTGTCTCTGTCTCCCGAGTGCTGAGATTAAAGGCGTGCGTCTTCACTACGGTCCAGCTTATTCAATTTTTTATTATCCATTTATCTGTTGATGGCCAACTAATTCTTTGCTATCGTGAATAATGCAGCAGTAAGCACTGGGGTGCAAATGTCCCTATGTCAGGGCAGATCTCAGATCTTTTCAGTGCCAGATCTTTTTTCTTACAATCCCGGTCTCTGCCTCGTGGCAGGGAAACCGTAGTGCGCCCCGCCTAATAAACGTTGCATTGGGCGGAGACTACGAGTAAGCGCGGCGTAGATAGGGCACCTGCGGCAACAGAAGTCTCAGCTCTCGCGAGGTTTCGTCTTCCGGGATTCGCTGGGGCACAGTCTCCGTAGACGGTGTGGCGATGTGTGTGGACTGTGTGAAGAAGGAGTACCCCAATCGGGTGAGAGCAAGTGGGCGCGGAGAGCCTCCCGGGGTTGGTCCTCTGCCTACTTTCCTACACAGGCCAGGGTCCCCTCTGCGGTCCTGTCATCGCAGTGGCCCTGATCTCCGGACGGCTGGCCCCCTCCCCGGCGATTGACGTCAGCGGTCCTTCCGGTTCGCCTGTGTTTCTATAGACAACCGGGGAACCACACCCTTAGCTACCCCACCCGGGTTGACATCAGCCCCTCCGTCCCTCTTGGCCGTCCCGGCTTCATCCTCCAGCTCCATTTGATGGAACTCTTTTATCTAATTCTGGCTCTGGATGAACCTCCGGGGCCATGCTAGAGCCCATTTATTTTATTTTATTTTTTTGAGACAAGTCTCTTGTCGCCGAGGATGGTCTTTAATGTCTGATCCTCTTGCCTCTACCTCTGGCATCACAGGCGTGCACCGCCGGGCCCTGTTTATATGGTGTTAGCAATGGAACCCAGGGCTTGGTGCATGCTAGGCAAGTTCCACCAGCTGAGCTACACGCACACCCCCAGCCTCTTGTTCAAGCCCACATTTGCAGATGGTAGAATCCGGAGAGGAACTGTCTGGATTGAGAAGCTCCCCTCCTGTCCCTCTGTCTTTTCCTTTCTCCTTTCCTTCTCGGTACTGAGGCTTGAACCCAGAGCCCGTACCTTCCAGGCAAGCACTCTACCAACAAATGTGTACCCCCAGCCCTTAACTCTTTGTTCCTCTCAGACTCGACTTTGCTCACTCTTTTAGGGGATACTGATTGCACATTGATGTGCATAGGCAGATTGTTTGGCTAAGTGATTCTCAACTTGTGAGTCTCGACCCCAGGGATCTAACGGCTCTTTCACGATAGTGGCCTAAGACCACCATCGGAAAACGCAGATGTTTACATTACGGTTCACAACAGTAGCAAAATTGCAGTTATAAAATAGCAACGAAATAATGTTATGGTTGGGGGGGGCGGTCACCGTAACATGAGGAACTGTATTAAAGGCCCGCAGCTTCCGAGCTGCTTAAGAACTTGCGGTATGAGAGGGAGTATGATTGACAGAATGTAATTTAAATTTAGTGAAAGGGAAGACTGACAGGGAATAGGATTGAAGTGTTTTCCATCCAAATAAGATGGCTTCTGGGTGATTGTGATTAAGTTCGAGGAGAGAGAAACCCAGGGAAAATAGCAAGATGAAGGATTTCTTTCGTTGGTTGAGAAATAAAGCATCTTCATAGTTCTTTCTCTTACTATTTTGTGAGTGTGATATGGGGTGGTGCTGTCGGCGATAGCACACATCTTTAATCCCAGCGCTCAGGAGGCAGAGAAACACTGTCTCTAAAAACAAGCAAACTCTCTCTCTCTCTCACTCTCTCTCTCTCTCTCTCTCTCTCTCTATATATATATATATATATATATATATATATATATATATTAGATTTGTAATTCTTTTGAGATTGTTATATAACAAATTTTCATATGGTACAACTGCTTTGGTTTATAAAGAATTAGCGACGGGTGTTGGTGGCACCCGCCTTTAATCCCAGCACTCGGGAGGCAGAGG